TTCCTCCAAGATGAATGATGGGGTACTATTCCTCCCACTGACACCAATGATGGGGTACTATTCTTCCTCCAATACCAATGATGGGGCACTATTCTTTTCCACTGACACCAATGAAGGGGTACTATTCTTCCTCCAATACCAATGATGGGGCACTATTCCTCCCATTGATACCAATGATGGGGTACTATTCATCCCCTAGTACCAATGATGGGGAACTATTCCTCCCACTGACACCAATGATGGTGTACTATTCTTCCTCCAATACCCATGATGGGGTACTATTCTTCCTCCAAGATGAATGATGGGGTACTATTCCTCCCACTGACACCAATGATGGGGTACTATTCTTCCTCCAATACCAATGATGGGGTACTATTCCTCCCACTGACACCAATGATGGGGTACTATTCTTCCTTCAAGATGAATGATGGGGTACTATTCCTCCCACTGACACCAATGATGGGGTACTATTCTTCCTCCAATACCAATGATGGGGCACTATTTATTCCTTCCACTGACACCAATGATGGGGTACTATTCTTCCTCCAATACCAATGATGGGGCACTATTCCTTCCACTGGCAACAATGATGGGGTACTATTCTTCCCCCAATACCAATGATGGGGAACTATTCCTCCCACTGACACCAACGATGGAGCAATATTCCTCCCTCAAATACCAAAGATGGGACATTGTTTACTTCCACTAACAATGACATTTTCTACTCCCACTGGTCACCCCTAAAGTTTGAAGGACATAAACTGGCTCTTTGTTCAGAAAGTTTGAAAACCCCAACCTTAAAGGATAAGTTCCAATTAAAAAAAATATTTTTGCAGGTAAAAAAATGTGCATTTATTATTTTTTTAATTTGAGCCTGTAAATCATTGCACCCGCCATCAGTAGATGGCGGGTGCAATCTTAGGCTCCTGCAGACTGTCAGTGTAGCTTCCTGCTTCTACCTCATACAGGCAGACAGTTACTGAATGACAGGAAGAATGAATTAACTATCTAGAGTGCTCATCAGTGCCCTGGTAGTTCATTGAGAACTACAAGCTGTCAGCTGCAATGGCTGATAGTAGTTGTAGTTCTCCTATTCACAGAACTGTGTGAATGAATGTAGCGGCCGGGTGGGTGGATTCTCACACGGCTGCTTTTTTTTTAATTGTGACAGTGGGTGCGGGAAGGAGATCCCCAGCCTGCTGTCACAATGGGGGATCGGGAAGGGGGTGCGGGACTGCTGCAACAGTTACATATTACACCCTGAGTACGGGTCTAACATGTAACATGTTGTAAAAGGTGAGCTTAACCTTTAATGCAGAATATGCATTAAGGTAAAAAAAACCCAGTTTTTTATTTATTTCAGGTACTTATATAGTGCCGTCAATTTATGCAGTGCTTTACATATATATTGTACATTCACATCAGTCTCTAACCCTCAAGGGGCGTACAATCTAAGGTTCCTAACCTACATTCATACATACAGTACTAGGGCCAATTTGGACAGGATCCAATTACCCTGCCAGCATGTCTTTGGAGTGTGGGGGGAAGCTGGGGTGCCCGGAGGAAGCCCATACAGGCACAGGGAGACCATGCAGGCTCCAGGCGGGTGGCGCCATGCAGGGGCGTATTTACCACAAGGCAAACAAGACATTTGCCTAGGGCGGCATTTTTCAGGAGAGCAGCACCGCCCCCCTGAAAAAAGAGATGTAAGAAGGGACACATGCGGCTTGGGGACCAGGTGGGATCTGAGAAAGTCTGCTGGCTGCTTGACTCTCGTTCCCGGGGATGTCCAGAGCTGTAAAGGTGTGTCTTTCTCTCTTCTGCTGGGAGGGGAGTGGCCAGGGTATGGGGGCAATGCTGGTGGAGGGCTGTCTCGGGTGGGGGGGGGCAGGTGTGTTGTTGGTCAATGTCAAGCTCTCTCCGGGGGGGTGGAGGGTTTGTGTTGCCAAGGGCAGAACAAAACCTAAATACACCACTGATGCCATGGTTGGGATTCGAACCAACAACCCTAGTACTGCCATGGGGAAGTGCTAACCATTTAGCCACTGTGCTGCCCCACTTTAATGGCATGTGGTTCCCCTGTGCCACCCCCACCACCGAGGTCAACGACATTGACCTTATTTGGCCATATGAGGTCAATGATGTCACTACCATCCCCGCCCCTTTGTGTATGTGTAGCTGCGGGGTGGGGAGTTCCCACCAACAACTCATTTGTCTGGCACTGACAGCTTCCCTCTGGGTTTGGACCAAGCCTGGTTCTAAGTGAACCCAAGCTAATCCCTACTCATGATCTATCTATCTGTAGGTATTGATCTCTATCCATCCATCCATCTATCTATCTATCTATCTATCTATCTATCTATCTATCTATCTATCTATCTCTATCTATCCAATATACAGCATATTATCTATCTATCTATCTATCTATCTATCTATCTATCTATCTATCTATTATTCTATCTATCTAATCTATCTATCTATCTGTAGGTATCTGTTTATCTGTACCTATTGATCTATATCTATCTATCTATCTATCTATCTATCCTTTGATAAATACATGGTCATGGAATGCACATCATTACGTTCATTTAGTGTACAAGTGTCGGTGACAGGTGCTCTTAAAAAAAAGAAAAAAGATCTTTGAAGAGCATCATTGCTTCCTACATATAAATAATTCCCCCAATATTAACCTATCTTGCTGTCATCCATAATGAGCTCAGAGATTACATGACATATTAATGCATAAAAGCAACGAAATGAATGAATCTCTGTCTTCTGATACACGGGGAGAGCAGACGGAGCAGTCTTCCTCCGGATCCCTTCTGGCGATGTAAAAGGACGTGCTTGTGCGATGCTACGAGCGGCCCAGGGCCCATTTGTGCCCAATCAATCAAAGAGATGGTTCAATAACAATTCATCCTCTGAAAAATGTCGGCTGCATGCTGCTGCCAAGTTCACTAACGCCACGCGTTGTTTGCCACAAGTGTCTGGCGGATGACTTAGTGCTTCCCACAGGCGGCAGTTATTTGTATAACAGACTGTACTAAACAATCTGCATTCATAAATTGGCATCCAATCTTCCCTTTAAAAGCATCTTTTCATCGGCTAATGCAGCCACTTTGCAAATTGTTTGTTGTTTACAGGGAAGAGGAATTGTGCAATGTTTTCCCCAAACACAGACCCATTTCACATTTAAAGGGAGGACTCTGTATATTTCCTTGACTTTTAAACCCTGTCTCCACCCAAAATTAAAGTGGAACTAAACTGTACCTGTGCACCACAATCTGAAAACGCTGTTCATTTCTTTTTAATATTCAATGCAAACTCTCCATCCATCCAGGTCTCCATGATTTATTTTGTCGAGAAATCACTTTGAAAAACACCCCCTGGCATTTATAGCTGTGGCCATTTTGAGTAAGGGCAGATGATTCACAAAGTGTTTACTTCCTGGAATCTATCTACCCTTAGCTCAGGCATGCAGGCAGCAGGGCTTACTTAGCTGAAAAAGCTCTTCCCCTCCTGAAGACTCCTGGGATGAATTACATCAGTTTGGCCAAGGCCAGAAACCAGGAAACAACTAAAAAAATGTAAAAACAAGTTTAACCACTTTACCCCTGAAAGGTTTTACCCCCTTCATGACCAGGGTCATTTTTGCTATGTCACAGTATACAGAGGACCCTTGACGTGGGACTGTGGCTTACGCATGTATTTGCAAATGTGTGCAAACAAAACCCTCTGTTTTTAATGCAAACTATTAGACAGGGCCAAATTTTTGCAGACTGGCTGCAAAAACTGTAGCTGCTGACTTTTAAAATACAGACACATACCTGTCCCTCGGTCCTGCGGTGTCCTCACACACAGCTGGTTTCACCGGCCATCTTCTCTCCCTGGTGTCGGCACCTTCAGTGTGGGCACCCGGTTGTGACAGCTTGTGGGTGCCCACTGCGCATCGGTGAGAATCGCTGCGCTTTGTGAATGGCCCCGTAGTCTTCTGGGACCTGTCATGTGTCCAAGAAGACTATGGGGGAGGGAGGGGGGAGGAAAACGTCCACTTCCGATCGCCTAGGCAATCGCAGCGGAAGTGGGAGCGGGTACCTGCTGTAAAATTCGGGTACCCCTTACCCCCCCCCCCCCCCCCGCTCCCAAAGGTGCCAATCCTTAAAGCGGAACTTCCCCTTTTGGATGGAGCTCCGCTTTAATGGCACCTACAGGTTGTGACTGGACTGGACAGTGAAAAAGGAGAAGTAGCAGACTGTTGAGCTCATCTCTCTGTCTTTCTGCTGTCTCCTATCAGCAGGTTCCTTGTTAGCACAACAAATTGGCCCTTTGTGCTGCATCTCTCTCTCCCAGTCTGATCTCTGCTGTGCAAGGACTGCACGAGACTGATAAGAAAAACAACGACTTCAGGTACTTATACTGCTTGCATTTAATGATGTAGTAATTATTACAGAGCTGCATTAATTAGTGTCTTTTATATATGCCTGAAATTCAGCTTTAACAATGGATCAAAATGAAAAATTGACATGCCGGTATGAAATAACAATATGACTTTTCAGCAGGCTGCTGTCCTTGGACTTTACTAGTTAGGGATCTCTACTCCTGACTGTAACAGCAACATAATTATTTTTGCTTCACTAGTTGAAAGGAAGAGTCGTGACTTGAACACTTTGAAAGTACTGTCCTTGGCCCTTAATTCCTTCCTTTGTACATGAGTTCTTTTGAATGGCATAGCGTTCTTATTATTGTAAATAATTTAGTAGTCACACAGCAAGGAAGAAGATGCTTTTTAACTGCTAAACAAATGGTTCCATAACACATCTTTAAAGTCTTTCAATCACTTGCAGTGTAACTCCAGTTCTGTTGGGGGAAAACAATCCCCTCTAGGGAAACTATATACTGTACATTGCAAGGTTTCATCATGCATTCACTATATCTGGTCTCCCCGGACCCTGCATTCACTATATCTGGTCTCCCAGGACCCTGCATTCACTATATCTGGTCTCCCAGGACCCTGCATTTACTATATCTGGTCTCCCCGGACCCTGCAGTCACTATATCTGGTCTCCCAGGACCCTGCATTCACTATATCTGGTCTCCCAGGACCCTGCATTCACTATATCCGGTCTCCCCGGACCCTGCATTCACTATATCTGGTCTCCCCGGACCCTGCATTCACTATATCCGCTCTCCCCAGACCCTGCATTCACTATATCTGGTCTCCCCGGACCCTGCATTCACTATATATATCTGGTCTCCCCGGACCCTGCATTCACTATATCCGCTCTCCCCAGACCCTGCATTCACTATATCTGGTCTCCCCGGACCCTGCATTCACTATATCTGGTCTCCCCAGACCCTGCATTCACTATATCCGCTTTCCCAGGACCCCACATTTACTATATCTGCTCTCCCCAGACCCTGCATTCACTATATCTGGTCTCCCTGGACCCTGCATTCACTATATCTGGTCTCCCCAGACCCTGCATTCACTATATCCGCTTTCCCCGGACCCTACATTTACTATATCTGGTCTCCCCAGACCCTGCATTCACTATATCCGGTCTCCCCGGACCCTGCACTCACTGTATCTGGTCTCCCCGGACCCTGCATTCACTATATCCGGTCGCCCCAGACCCTGCACTCACTATATCTGGTCTCCCCGGACCCTGCATTCACTATATCTGTGACATCAGCACATAGGCTCCTCCCTGATAACTGCTAAATACCTGTTCTCATTAGCAGTTAGAGCTGTCTTGTGACTTCTATCAGTGTCCAGCAGAGCATTGGTTAAAACCTGTAAGAGGAGTTTTCATTCTCCTCAAGGAGTATGCAGGACCCCTGACCTCTGAACAGTGCTGATTGGCCCTGTGCTGATCACATGCACTTTCCCAAGAAAAAAAAAAAACACTCTAGCAATACACACCAAACTGAGCATGTGCAGAGTGTCTCCACATGATATGTCTTATCAGGAGATAAGAGGGGGACACTGGAAGAAGGGGGGGATCAGAGAAGACATGATTAAACAGCATTTTTACACAATGCGGAAGATTAACCCCTTACATTCCACAGTGAGGATAACAAGCATGCTTTACTGCATATATGGACCAGAGGTGGACTGACAACTCATGGGGCCCCCAGGCAATAGGGGATCATGGGGCCCCTGTGTCCTTGCCCACACTCAAACCACACCCAAAAAAGCCTATGAAAAGTACCAGGGGCATCTCATGGGGCCCCCTACTGACCCTGGGCCCTCGGGCAGTGCCCGAGTTTCCAAATGGTCAGTCCGCCTCTGATATGGACTGAATTTACTGTTGTCGGTTTAGTAACACTTAAGCTTTGACAAAAAAAAACTGGAAGCTGATTGGTTTCTATGCACAGCTGCACCAGATTTTGCACTCTGTGTGTCTAAAGTAAAACCAAAATATATACCTAAATAACATGAGACATTGCCTACATCATAGTGTTTTAGCAGCTGAAATTATGATGTAGGTGATGTCTCATGTAATATAGGTGGAAAGGGTTAAACAACTCTTATAGCCACTTGGTTGCATTCTCTCTGTCTTTTTATATACTATAAGTTAGTGAATAAGATAAAGTATCGTTTTATATAAATTCAAGAAAATGGCGATCTATTCTGCCCTTTTATAATACATTTTTTATATCTAGGTTTGGTCATCTGTAAAATAGCAGCTGATGTATATATATCAGTAAATTATCTTATATTCATGTTGTATTTGAATCCAAGAAAATGGCGACCTGTTCTATTGATGTATCCAATTATAGTGTGCTATTTGGTGTCCAGTAAGATGGCGGCTGCAATTTACATTCAGTGGGTTTCCAAGGAAACAAATTTGAATGGAGTGGTATAAAGGACAATTAGCATGTAGTGGCCCTTATCCCCCAATGAAGTCACGTGATTTGATGACGCAACACGTTGGGAGGAGCTGCAAAAACTGGAAGTGTACGGTTGGCCGTACAGCAGTGCACCTTGTATGTGCACGTGAAAACTTGAGTAGAAAAAGCTTAAACAAAAAAAAATTGACTTTTATATGGAATGCATTATATTCTTTATTCTCAGCATTTTATCAACATCCACCATAAGACCACAGAGGATGGAGATGGATTGAGAGGCACCAGTAAGATGGAGGAAGATATTACAACTGTGGCATAGGAGACCCCACTGAAAGGGACAAGCTCATGAGACCTACTTGTGAGGTCTAAACATAGGGTAAGCGCATATAGATGTTGGTTTGAAGGGATAACTGCACATGATGAAGTAAGATTTTGGAAGATTATAACTGTTGGGAGTAAGAAAACGCCTTACATGGGCGGAAAGATATTAGTAACACAAATACACGTCTGCAAGAATATATGGACATTTGGGACTTTCTTTACTGTTATTGACTAGGACCTTTTTCTGTTATTGATTGATACATGATTTACTTTGATTTATTAATGTTCTATTATATTGAGTTGGTTTTATGAAATTACACAGTCATACTTGCACATTTGTACTGTGTGGCACTTTATTAAATACATATATATCATCTCTCTAGATAGCCAGGGGGAGCTTGCTAGATTTTTTTAGTTAGATAGGCTGATTAACAGCCTGGGCAATAGTCAGCTGGGTCAACTTTAGGTCATGGCCGAGAGACTCTGCAGATCAGTTCCTTGATACTTCCCCCTGTTCTAGAAACTTTGAGAAGATTTTAGAAGCAGTGGGTGGGGTGGGGAGGAGCTGATCTGCATACGTAGGGGATCCTGATCAATTCCCAGGCAGGAGGCAGTGGGGTCAAGACAGTCCTTAAGTATGACTGAGCCTGCTCAGCAGCAGGAGAGTTCAGGTGGAAGATGTGAGAGAAGGCTGAGATGTAGGAGCCTGGGAGGGGGCTCAGAGGGAAAGGGTCTACCTACCGGCTTGGGCATGGACAGGATAATCACTCAGTCTCACCGGACTCCAGAGGAAGGACCACCTGTGGAGCCAGGGAAGGAGCCAACCTAGCAGAAGGCCTGAAGACAACCACCTACCTAAACCAGCTCACAGAAAAGAGTGAGTAATCATACCTCCCCTGGGCCAGTTAAGGGGAAAGGGGCATTCTGGTGGGAAACCTGACTAGCTCCTTACCCGGGACTGTTCTATCTAAAGTGGCAGCCACTGGATCCCCTTGCCCAGGGATTCTTCCAGACAGCTGGGTAAAGAAGAGGATTTATCTGGGTTCTGGGGTGGTACACCAGGAGAGGCTGGAGAGCTCTTCAAGAAGAGAAGTTCTATCTTTGGAATTGTACATAGTTGCTAGGAAGATGTCCTCAGTCTGCTGTTCCTTGAGCATCCCATACACCCCTTACCACATCCAAATTTAAACACCCATAATAAAACCTAAAAAATCAAGATCAAGGGCTGTTTACTGTCTCTGGAATGCAAGTGTGAAGGAAATGCATGTTGCTTGGCTGTGCAGGACTATAGGGGGACCCAAATCTTTATCAACTCCTAAGGGGGGTTGCGCTACTCATATATTAATAATCAGTGAACCTGCCCATAAACATTTGGCCTTAAAATGTATGTACAAAACTATGTTGCATTCCCTTTAATATGATGAGCAGCATCACTGACCAATAGGGTTGCCTCTATATTTGGATCTGCTGTTAATTTGACATACGGCCTTAGCTGACGGTTACCACCCATTATGCATTTTTATTGTGTCCAGTCTGACTTGCCGAGGCTTGCGATACATTTACTTGAAACTCTAACAGTTATATCTACTGACTGCAATTCACCGTAGCCAATTTGTGTTTATTGATCCTTTAAAAGGTTTCTCGAAACTTGCAAGGACTTTATTTAACTAATCTGAGCTGCCGAATTCCCCATTCCAAAGAAGAATTAAGCACAATGAAACAGCAGTCACCTAAAACGTTTAGGCGGTGAGCTTCCAATAAAATCCTTCTGAGAAGTTTGAAAGTAACAGAAAAGTTCAAGTAACTATACAAAAGTAAACATAACGAAGTACGATGGAGGAGAGGTTTGACTCTCTGCTGATTACCGCGATCAATATAAACCTCTTCACAGGAATAACTAAGAATGCGTACTGCACCTACCAGATGCTGTTCTCATGGCGAGCACGCCACTTAGATTAGGACTTCATGGTTCTGAGCCAAATAATAAATTTGTAGAACAGCCTAAAATTCCATAAACTTCATAAAGATGAACAGAGCATTTCAATGAGTTGTGGAGTTAGTAATGATAAAATAGTTTCAAAAAGCTGAAAAAGAACAAAATAATGTGTTCATGTATTCCAATAAGTTATTCCCAGAGACTCCAATGATGCAGCTAAGACCCTAATATTTGGTGTGAATGATAGAGGATAGAGGTGCCAGGAAAGAGTGAAAAGGTCAAGAGGCTCTTCAATTTATATATAGCAAAGGAGGTGTACATTGGGGGGGGCTCTTTGTATATGCATAAAATTCCCCAGTAGTCAACTCCACTATCCAGCAATAGTTACATACACTATTTTGGCCAAATTATTGAGTTGATGTGCACAAAGCCAGCTCCATAGAGACATACAAACTCAATAAAGAATCTACGCTATATATGTGAACCATTAAAGGATAAGTTTACCTTTTGTAATATGTTACATGTTACACCCGTATTCAGCGTGTAACATGTTATGAACAGACTGGCCCCCGCAAATGAAGGTAAAAAAACCTTCTGTGTGCAGCAGCCCCCCAGCCCCTCTTAATACTTACCTGAGACCCATATCGATCCTGCAGTGTGCACGAGAGCAGCGTCTCTCGGGGGTCTCTCCCTCCTCTTTGTCTGAGACAGCAGCGGGAGCCATTGGCTCCTGCTACTGTCAATCACAGCCAGTGAGCCAATGAGGAGAGAGCGAGGCAGGGCCGAGCCATATCTGTGTGAATCGACAGGGAGTATACAACTGGAATGGTTGGTCACACTGACCACCCATGTGTAGCCAGGTGCCGGCTATATCATTATGGCATTCAGGGACATTTACAGATGAAACTATGGTTAATCCTTTTACCCCTAGTGCCCAGTACTGGGACTGCTACATCACTTCCTGTTAGCAGAGTGGATTCAGTTCTTCTGACAGCAGAGGATCTTGGGCCCTGTAGTCCTACATCCAATACATACTATATTTATGAGTGCTTATTGAACTACAGCTACTGCTACCAGAGAGCTGGGGAACCAGAAGGTTGCTGGGAGAGTAGATATATTCTACAGCAAGGAACTGTCTATCGCAGAGCAGAACACAGGGGAACTGCCATTCTCCTGCAGAGATAGGTTGTTGGCCTACTGCTGCGGAGCTCTGCACATCAGTTCAGCACAGCAGTGACACTGATCTCCACGCCAGCTTCTTTGCATTGGGACTGTCCCTATCTGCACACAGACATCTCTGCTTGCTGCACTGACAGACTGTCAGGTTGCAACTCTGCACATCCCTGCAAACAGCTAAGAGCCTATGTAAGAACCCTGTTCCTAGGAGGCCATGCTATCCAAGGGATTGGTGAGTGGGGTGAATGCTCAACCTCTTTCTGTCATCACTCTAGAGACACTGCATGCAGACACCTTTACACCTCAGAATCTTTGCTTTGGGCAGTACCACAGTCTATCTATTTAATGTAATTGAATTACCAGTATTCACTAGTGTATATGGGCCCCACCATTGCTAGCAGAAGACGGACACCGCCATATAAGGAGCTTTAAACATCACAGGATTCCTGTTGCAATCTCTAGTAAAAGGGACCTCTTCTTTTCTAAGGCCATTATTATTCAAATTAGGATACTTATATCTATTTATGCCAGAGTATATATTTACATAATTCTCTGCATCCACTGTTGTGGTGCCGGTGGCCTAGGGGGAGCTGATAAATCAACAAGCCTTTTCTTCCCCCTCTTACTGATGGTGACTCACTAATCACCAGTATAAGGGGGCACACTGATCACCAGTATAAGAGGGCACACTGATCACCAGTATAAGGGGACTCACTAATCACCAGTATAAGGGGGCACACTGACCACAAGTGTAAGGGTGCACAATGAATTCAAGTGTAAGCGGGTACACTGACCACCAGTATAAGGGGGCATACTGATCACCAGCATAAGGGGGCACACTGATCACCAGCATAAGGGGGCACACTGACCACAAGTGTAAGGGGGCACAATCACTTCCAGTGTAAGGGGGCATACTATGTTGTTTGCACTATAATCAACTTCATGTATTCAGTAAACATTAGTCTACATTTACATGGGTGACTAGCTTCAGTGTGAATGATAGCGGCAGGAATCTCCTAATTCCTGCAGCTGTTTCTGACACCTGTGAGCAGCTAGCTGCAGCCACCGAGTCTTGTACACTTCAAAGACAAGTCAGCAGTGACCGCAGCTATCCGTGGCTGTTCCCCCAGCCAACGATTACTTGCAGTGATTGCTGTGGACACACTTTGTGTGCTTCAAGCAGTGATCACCGCAGGGTGGACAGCCACGGATAGCTGAGGTTGCTATTGACCCGAAGTGTACAGGGGTCGGCGGTCACAAATAGCAGCACCCGGGTGGCAGAAACAGCTGCATGAATTAGAAGCTTCCTGCTGCTATCATTCACACCGACGCTAGTTGCCTATACAAATGTAGCCTTACTGTTTAGGGAACTCTCAGGTCTGAGTTACTTAAGGAAGAATAATTGTAATCACAGTATGTATAAACGGGGAATGAAGAGTACCATCCTAAGTTAACCCTTGTAGTTATGAAACAAAGTGTGTATTAGACCCAGAGGCGGACTGACAACTCATGGGGCCCTGGGGCAATAGGGGATCATGGGGCCCCTGTGTCCTTGCCCAAACTCAAAAAAAAAGCCTATGAAAAAGGTACCAGGGGCATCTTATGGGGCAGCGCCCGAGTTTCCAAATGGTCAGTCCGCCCCTGATTAGACCCCATGTACACGAGCAGCACCTAAACTCAAATTTAGGAGCTTTTGGCATTTTTTTGTCAAAGTTCCTAAATAGAGATGAGCGAATTATTCAAAAATTCGATTCGGCTGATTCGCCGAATTCACGGAATAAATTCGATTCGAGGCGAATATATTCGCTGCGAATTTAACGTGTAAAAAGGGTGTTTCTAGGCTTCAGAGAGCCTTTATATTAGTGCAGAACACTGTACCTTTAATTTAAATGCCCTTGGAGTCTGCTGGGGAAGAGAAATAATACTGTCAGTCAGTATGACATGCAGATGAGTGCCGTCGATCTTAGAATCACTGCACACTTCACTCATTTGGGCAGTCACGGGGCCAAAACCAGAGTGTGGAGCCACAGTGTGGCGGTGGAGGCAGCAGCAATGGGAGGCCATACAGCACCCTATGACAAAATGGAACCCACCAGCAGTGTGAGGAGACCTGAAAGTGGCACATGGCAGAGTGTGGCGATGGAGACAGCAGCAATGGGAGGCCGTACAGGGACCCATGACACACTCTGGACCTGGCAGCAGCATGAGGAGGCGGTACAGGGGCCCATGACAGATTACGGGCCTGGCAGCAGCATGAGGAGTCGGTACGGGGGCCCATGGCAGATTACGGGCCTGGCAGCAGCAATGGGAGGCCATACAGCACCCTATGACAAAATGGAACCCACCAGCAGTGTGAGGAGACCTGAAAGTGGCACATGGCAGAGTGTGGCGATGGAGACAGCAGCAATGGGAGGCCGTACAGGGACCCATGACACACTCTGGACCTGGCAGCAGCATGAGGAGGCGGTACAGGGGCCCATGACAGATTACGGGCCTGGCAGCAGCATGAGGAGTCGGTACGGGGGCCCATGGCAGATTACGGGCCTGGCAGCAGCAATGGGAGGCCATACAGCACCCTATGACAAAATGGAACCCACCAGCAGTGTGAGGAGACCTGAAAGTGGCACATGGCAGAGTGTGGCGATGGAGACAGCAGCAATGGGAGGCCGTACAGGGACCCATGACACACTCTGGACCTGGCAGCAGCATGAGGAGGCGGTACAGGGGCCCATGACAGATTACGGGCCTGGCAGCAGCATGAGGAGTCGGTACGGGGGCCCATGGCAGATTACGGGCCTGGCAGCAGCAATGGGAGGCCATACTGCCAGCACCCTATGACAAAATGGAACCCACCAGCAGTGTGAGGAGACCTGAAAGTGGCACATGGCAGAGTGTGGCGATGGAGACAGCAGCAATGGGAGGCCGTACAGGGACCCATGACACACTCTGGACCTGGCAGCAGCATGAGGAGGCGGTACAGGGGCCATGACAGATTACGGGCCTGGCAGCAGCATGAGGAGTCGGTACGGGGGCCCATGGCAGATTACGGGCCTGGCAGCAGCAATGGGAGGCCATACAGCACCCTATGACAAAATGGAACCCACCAGCAGTGTGAGGAGACCTGAAAGTGGCACATGGCAGAGTGTGGCGATGGAGACAGCAGCAATGGGAGGCCGTACAGGGACCCATGACACACTCTGGACCTGGCAGCAGCATGATGAGGAGGCGGTACAGGGGCCCATGACAGATTACGGGCCTGGCAGCAGCATGAGGAGTCGGTACGGGGGCCCATGGCAGATTACGGGCCTGGCAGCAGCAATGAGGAGGGCGGGTTGACAGGGGGAACCCACCCATGGCAGGAGACCTGAAAGTGGCACGGCAGAGCGTAAGCAGCTAAAATGGAAGGCCATACAGAGGCCTATGTTAAAAAGTCCCCCCTGCAGCAGCGTGGGGAGACGACTAATAGTCGTCTCCCCACGCTGCTGCTGGGGGGACTTTTTAACATAGGCCTCTGTATGGCCTTCAATTTAAGCTGCTTACGCTTCGCCACTCTGCCATGGGCCCCTGTAGCCTCTCTTGCTGCTGCCAGGTCCAGAGTGTGTCATGGGTCCCTGTACGGCCTCCCATTGCTGCTGACTTCATCGCCAGACCGGCCATGTGCCACTTTCAGGTCTCCTTACACTGTTGGTGGGTTCCATTTTGTGATAGGGTGCTGTATGGCCTTCCATTGCTGCTGCCTCCACCGCCACCCTGCGCCATGTGCCTCTGTCGTCTGCTGCATGCTGCTGACGGCTTCCGCTTTTTAACCGAGCCTGTGTTTGGCTTCCGAATACTGCTGCATCCACCGCCACCCCTGCGCCATGTGTCTCTGTCGTCTGCTCACGCTGCTGACGGCTTCCGCTTTTTAACCTAGGCCTGTGTATGGCTTCAGAATAATGCTGCCTACACCGCCACCCTGCGCCATGTGCCTCTGTCGTCTGCTCACGCTGCTGCCAGGTCCATACTGATTCATGGCCCCCTGTACCGGCTCCTCATGAACGTGGTTCAGCGGAGGAGGCGGTTGCATCACTTAACGGCAAATCGTTGACAAACGCTGGGACGTTCAGTGTTGTGCGCAGCAGTAAGCCAGACACCAAAGGGCAGCACAGACCTGTTATTACTCGATCAAGCATGGCTGAACAAAACCAGTCTCTACCACAAATTGGACCCAGACCTGCCCAGGGTCTCGTAAGTAGATTGCACGGCAGGAGTAGAGTTCGTTATTGGAATTAACTGTGAGGGAGATTTTAAACCTAGGCCTGTGTATGGCCTTCAATTGAAGCTGCTTCTGCTCCGCCACTCTGCCATTGGACTCTTGATAGTCGTCGACTATCAAGAGTCCAATGGCAGAGTGGCGGAGCAGCAGAAGCAGCTTCAATTGAAGGCCATACACAGGCCTAGGTTTAAAAGTCCCTCACAGTTAATTCCAATAACGAACTCTACTCCTCCGTGCAATCTACTTACGAGACCCTGGGCAGGTCTGGGTCCAATTTGTGGTAGAGACTGGTTTTGTTCAGCCATGCTTGAGCGAGTAATAACAGGTCTGTGCTGCCCTTTGGTGTCTGGCTTAATGCGCACAACACTGAACGTCCCAGCGTTTGTCAACGATTTGCACATGGCCGTTAAGTGATGCAAACCCGCTGAACCACGTTCAGAGGGAGCCGGTACAGGGGGCCATGAATCAGTATGGACCTGGCAGCAGCGTGAGCAGACGACAGAGGCACATGGCGCAGGGTGGCGGTGTAGGCAGCATTATTCTGAAGCCATACACAGGCCTAGGTTAAAAAGCGGAAAGCCGTCAGCAGCATGAGCAGACGACAGAGACACATGGCGCAGGGTGGCGGTGGATGCAGCAGTATTCGGAAGCCAAACACAGGCCTCGGTTAAAAAGCGGAAGCCGTCAGCAGCGTGAGCAGACGACAGAGGCACATGGCGCAGGGTGGCGGGGAGGCAGCAGCAATGGAAGGCCATACAGCACCCTATCACAAAATGGAACCCACCAACAGTGTAAGGAGACCTGAAAGTGGCACATGGCAGAGTCTGGCGATGAAGTCAGCAGCAATGGGAGGCCGTACAGGGACCCATGACACACTCTGGACCTGGCAGCAGCAAGAGGAGGCGGTACAGGGGCCCATGGCAGAGTGGCGAAGCGTAAGCAGCTTAAATTGAAGGCCATACAGAGGCCTATGTTAAAAATAATAACATGTGTTTGGGGCATGATTCATGGCGGATTTAGTCAGTTGTGTCAGGAACTGGTGGTGGTTTGAAATCCAGACTAATCCACGCCTGATTCATTTTCACAAACGTGAGTCTCTCCACACTTTGGGTGGACAGTCGTGTCCTCCGCGGAGTTACAATACCTCCTGCCGCACTAAACACGCGCTCCGATGCCACGCTACTGGCCGGGCATGACAGCCTTTCAAGGGCAAATTCAGCTAGTTGGGGCCAAAGGTCAAGTTTCGTTGCCCAGTAGTCAAGGGGATTTGTCTACCTCGGTTGGCAGGGTGCTGTCCAAGTAGGCCCGAGCCTGTTGTTTGAGGTCCTGCTCCAGGTCCACCTGATGCTGCTGCTGCTGCGGCTGGTTAGTAGTTTCCTCACTGCGCTGGTGAAGAAAGCTACTCATCATCGACTGCAGACTGAGGCAGCCGCTGCTGGTGGAGCTGCCTGCTCCTACCACCCCACCCCTCCCCTGCTGCCATGGCAGCGGAACGCGAGCGCACAGGGCCCACAGTGTCTGAGGATGGACGTTGGCGCAGAAAGGCAGAGACCAACTGACTACATAGGTGGTTTTTATAGTACTTTATTTTGGCCTCCCTCTCAGCAGGTGTGAAAAAGGCCACCATTTTTGAACGGTAGCGAGGGTCCAACAAGGTGGACAGCCAAAAGTCATCCCTCTGTCTGATGGTTATTATTCGGCTGTCGCTACGCAAGCAAGCCGAGCATGCTATGGGCCATTTGTGCCAAGGAATGCGAGGGACTCCCTGCCTCCATCTCCACAGCATACTGCCACGGTGCGTCTGGGTCCTCTGTCTCCTCCTCCTCCTCCTCTCTACCAGATGCTCCTGCTCCTCCACTCCTGTCCGCTGAGTGGAAAAACCACCCATTTCACTCAATAATTCCTGAGCACAATGTCCTCCTCTACCTCCTCCTCTTCTTCCTGTCCTGCCCCCACAGGGTCATGTGGCGTTGAGATCTGTGCGCCACGTCTACCGCACCCTGACCAGCCATTGTTAACAGCATTTGTTCCAGGACGTGCAACAGAGGAATGACGTCGTTCATCCCATAGTCCTGCCGACTCACGAATAGCGTGGCCTCCTCAAAGGGCCTGAGCAAGCGGCAGGTGTCACGCATGAGCTGCCAATGGCTGACATCTAAGTTACACAGGGGAGTACCTTTATCCGCTTGTAACATCAGGAAATCGGTGATGGCCTTTCGCTGTTCGTAAAGGCGGTCTAACATATGTAGGGTTGAATTCCACCTTGTTGCAACGTCGCAGATCAGGCGATGCTGTGGAATTCCGTTCTGCCGCTGCAGCTCAAGGAGGGTGTGCTTTGCGGTGTAGGAATGGCTGAAATGCATGCAAAGTTTACGTGACATTTTAAGGATGTCTTGCAGTGGGATGGTGGATTTTAGGAACCGCTTGACAACCAGATTGAACACGTGAGCCATGCATGGCGCATGGCACAACCTTCCTTGACGCAGAGCAGACACCATGTTCTTTCCGTTGTCGGTCAACATGGTTCCGATTTTCAGTTTGCGCGGAGACACAGCCATCTGTCGATTTCTCTGTTCATTACACTCAGAAGTTCCTCCCCTGTGTGACTACGTTCGCCAAGGCATACCAGGTGCAGCACAGCGTGACACCGTTGCGCCCTGCACATGTGATATGCCGGTCGGGTAATGGGACTTGGCACGGGGGGGTGGCGGCTGAGGGACACGGCGGAAGAAGAGGTGGTAGAGGCGGACATCTTTGCTGGACCAAGGACGTGTGCAAACGTGGAGGCAAAAGCGGCGTGACCTGTCCAAGTTGCTGGTGCGGCTGTGTGCCGGCACCACGTTCACCCAGTGGGCCGTAAATGACATGTACTGTCCCTGACCGTAGTTACAGCTCCACACGTCGGCGCTGCCGTGCACTTTGGCAGAGACCGACATGCTCAAAGACTGGCCCACCATCTCTTCTACATGTGAATGCAGGGCTGGCACTGCCTTTTTGGCGAAGAAATGCCGGCTTGGCACTCTCCACCGCGGCTCGGCACAAGCCATCATTTCTCGGAAAGGTGCTGAGTCCACCACTTGGAAAGGGGGGGACTGCAGCACCAGCAACTTGGACAGGAGGACGTTCAGCTTCTGCACCGTCGGGTGCGTGCTCGCAAACTGTTGTCTCTTGAAACGGATTCCAAGAAAGACTGCTGACGGAATCCGTGAAGAGGAGTAGCAGGAG